TCAACAACTTTATACTTGGGAAGATTGGCCGGAGCCCTAACACTCATGCGTTGCGTGCGCCAACGTTTCAACCTGACACTCTCATGCCGGTCACGGTGATTTGCAAACGTGCGCGGGGGAGACCAAAAAGAAAATTGGCAGCAGAGTTGTTATCAATTGTTTCTTCATGTTTCCCTAGTTCTGACTCTTTAATGGGCGCGCTCCGAGACGAGGAAAGATGGCACGCTTTCAGCATCAAGCTTTCCAGGCCAACTAGATGTGGAGAAGACGAATACTTATGATATGCATTGCATGGCTTCTGCGTCTTGGCAGGAATAAACACACACAGACACACAGACACACAGACACACAGACACACACACACACACACACACACACACACACACACACACACACACACACACACACACACACACACACACACACACACACACACACACACACACACACACACACACACACACACACACACACACACACACAGACACACACACAGACACACACACAGACACACACACAGACACACACACACACACACACACACACACACATATATATATATATATCATCTTCCTCCTCCTCCCTCCGTCCTCTCGGCGCGCATTTGGCGCGTCCAGGCCACTTGTGCACGCGTTTGGCGTGCAATTTCTACTCTTCGGCGACCTCCTCCTCTTCCTTGCGTTCTCTCGGCGCGCATTTGGCGCGTCCAGGCCATCTGGGCACACGTTTGGCAGGTAATCGTCTGCTCTTGCACGCATTTGGCGCGTCGCATCTCTTTGCCTTGCCCACCCGCATTTGGCGTATGGCTGCTTAGTTCGTTGTGCCCTGGCGTGACTCTCCCTCGAGTTCCAGCACTGTCTATATTGGAATTTTTCGATCTTTACTTCTCGCTGCCTCCAAGGAAGAAGCATTGCATCTTATCCAACAAGACAAATGGTCAAAATGACATGTGCCACTGCTATGGGCGGCTGCTGGGGACGGCAAGGAGGACTCATTATTCTAGTAATTATTCAAATTATTGCAGCTACATACAATTGAAGCTGCAAGGGAAAGAAATAATCACAGGTGCATCTTCCCGGCAGGGGGTTCATGCGCTACGGGATACTTTCAGACAATTTGGGATTCACACTATGCTTGGGCTCGGTAACTGGTTACTTGTTCGAAGATTCGGACATGAAGACATGCCTCCGGGAAATTGGATTAACAAAGATAATCAGAATTTATTGATGCCCTGCAGCGAATGTCAATGCTGACATCATTTTGTTGGAAACGGGAATCTTAACATCCGTTGTATTTATACGACGCCCCTCATATCCGGCACTACGTATCGCACGTCGTGCAATCAAGTGTTTTCTTCTAGACCTCCAATACACAGATCACGACACGTGCCACCCGGGGAACCAATGTCCTGGGCCTTATCACCATGGAAAGTCCACTGGGTCGGGCTCTGTTGCATGCGTGCCGGATGGTAGGGTTCATCTACAAGCGATAGATATGCAAAGATGCATGGAATAACATCCCAACATGCAAAAATACAGTGCGTGCGCGGCCGCAAGAAACCATCGCAAACAAAAAAACAACCCTGAAAACACGCGCGCGAGGTGCAACTGAGGGGAAACCCGAGCACCCCGAACGCAGCAGCTCCTTCAACGGCCGCGGGAAGTCACCGCGCGCCCCTATTGTATCGCTGACTGCGTCAGGGGAATTTGATTACGGATATTGACTCTGAGATATCAGCCCTGAACGAATAGAACAATGCCAACAAGAATGGAGATTATTTCCTCCCCCTCCGCCTCCTCGTTCTCGTTCTTGTCCTCCTCCTCGTCCTCGTCCTCGTCCTCGTCCTCGTCCTCCTCCTCCTGTAGCGCTGCTCAGTAAGGCACCCAGTCCTACGCTTAAGGCGTGCAGGACAATTTCACTCTGGCAACTTTGCATTGTGCTCCGTTGGCGGCGTGCTGATAATTGAAAAAAACCAGAAGCGAACAAATATGTTTTCGTGTTGCGGTGGCGACCTGAAATAACATTTGACGACGACCTGCCTGACGATGCCGAAATTCTTTGTACAATTAAGCCAACATCTGCTGACCAATAGCGAAATTCCCCGTGCTGCCGTAAACCATTTGAACCGGCCGTGCCAACGAATCTACCCCGGGATTTACAGCAGCGCGCACAAGCCGGCCTGCACGGCCCTTTCCGCAGCAACGCCACCACTTCCGACCGCGGCGAACATTCATCGTCTTCGGATTTTCCCCCCCTCTCTTGTGGTTATTCTCCGCTCTTTCCTTTCCGCCTCCATAAGTTTCTTTCAATTATTAGTTTTCTTTTTCCTCCTCTTCCTCGGCCTCCGTCTCCGTTTGGTTACTATAACTGCTTATTTTCTATAGCCACGACGACAACGAGATCGTTCACACTTCGCGTGCGTCCACCAACAACTACCATAATGCAAACACTATACGGAACTCAAAGAGGAGGGAGCAAAGAAGACGAGAAACAAACATAAAACTGGGAACTGTTACTGAAACTGTTGTAACAGATAAACTAACGACCATTCCAGAGAACATCTACCGCTGCAGAACACATATTAACACGTTTCAATGGAGAATCTTGACTTTTCCTCAAAGAAAAAACAACAACGTTTTAAGAAAACCCTCGGGGAGGTAATAATAGTTCCGTTTGAATATTCGCCGTTTCAGAAAACATTTTTTTGGTTGGCAGATAAGGGTTCGGTTTCGCTCGCAAATTTGGGCTTCGATTATTCTTGTTTTCCATATTGGTTTCACCGAGAGGATTTCAATTTCACTGCGGTTCTTTGCTCGATGGGTTATATCATCCTTCTTCCTATTGTTTTTCTCCGTTGGCCACGTTTTCCCGTCTTCTCCGTTGCCCATGTTTTTTGGCGTTTCCCCTTCCTCCTAGTCCGCCCATTCTCCCCGACTATTGCTTGAAATATTCGTATTGGCATTGCGATGTGGCTTGCCCAAGGCGAATCTCGCGGCCACGCTGTTGGGACATTGCTTTACGGCAATTGATTTCCGGGAACAGAAATCCGGGTTTTAATTTTTTCCCCGCAACATGGCAAAACTCGATTCGACCAGTGCCCATCCAGAAAACCACGAGAAAATATAACAAAATATTTGCCAACATCCAGCGCCAAATTAAGCGCGTCCGCGTTTGAGTTGTACTGCTGTTCATGTCTTGATGTTGCCGTTGTTAATTTTCTGATCCGTGGTTGTCGATTCCACCGGACGGAGGCCGTTGACAGAACCGGAATCCGAAACGCAGCGATCCGAACACGGCAAACGCAACATACCAACATTACACATTGATTGTACAATCAACCCGTATAGTAAGTATGCGCGATAAGGATGCAAGGGCCTTGGACGCCCATTCCGAAGCTTTTCGAGTGGGGCACGGCCAGCGAGAGTGGCGAGGGATGGACCGAGGAGGCGAGGATGCAAGGGTACCGTTGTGAAGGTTGCCCATCCTAACTATGCGGGTTGACTGTATGCAAATGAACCCTTATTTCCGTTCATGTTTCTCCCTGCTTTTGTTTTTGTTCTTCCCTCCCCGCTTGACTCTCATGCCCACCCCGTCTTCGCATCACCTAACATCGGACAGACATAACGAACCAAACAACAACGAAAAATCTGAAAACGTGGCAGACCGGAAGAGAGGGCGAAATCAAAAGGCAGTAAAGAGGAGAGAATGAGAAAAAGGGAGGGCAAGACGGAACAGGTAATGAGATATGTTTCCAGTCCCAAGCGCCCAAGCGGATGCAAACTATTAAAAAACAAGACAACACAAGGAAACGGACATCTGTTTGGTGAAACCGGAACCTCCTCTACGCGATATGAAAAACTCAGATCGAATCAGAATCCCTACTTGCCTTGCCTGCGGGTGAAACAAAATATTTGCAAAACCAAGCGTCAAATTAAACGCGTCCAGGGGCTGAATTGCAATGTTGTTCATGCCTTGATATGGCCGTTTTTGATTTGCCGATCTATGGTGATCGATTCTACCAGACGGAGACCATCAACAAAACCTTGATCCGAAACGCGGCAAGCCGAACATGGACCGGGAAAACACATCAAAAACTGACGGACAAACGTAAGGAAAAACAAAAAGCGAATGGTTGGACAACGGAGCACACCAGAAAAGAGGAGGCGAACAAGAACATATGTAAGAGAAGGATAAGAACATTTGGGGAGGGCAAGACGGAAAAACGATAAAGTGATGACAGAACGGGGTGCGCGAAATAATCAAACGGAAGAAAGGAAGAACAAACAAACGGGGACAAACATGAACGGACATACGGGAAACGAACGAACAAGAAAATACAAGGGAACGGACATCTGTTTGGTGAGACCGAAACTTATTCCCTTGAAATCAAAAACTAATCGGTCCAAACCGAAATTTGACATACGGAAAACAACATCATCGCGCGAAACCGAAACCTCCGCACGAAACGGAAACCTCTGAGCCAAACGGAATTTGTACCTGCCCAATATGCTTACGATTGATTGGCTCATGTAATCGAAGTCTTTCCATGCTTCATTTATTCACGACCTTGTGCCAAAAATGGCGTCAGACCTGGCTGGGCTTGGATGCAACATTGACATCGGAAACAATAATCTTATTACATTGCGTGGGACCTGCAATCGCACATCGCACCGCACCAATCGTATGCCGCAATAACTTGTAAAATACCGCAAAAGGTACTTCTGATTGCCTGGGCGTCGGTCTAACTGTGCTTGGAATGTGTCCTTAGAAACTGGCACCACTGATAAGCTCCAGATTTCGTTCCGGCTTCGGGCTCAGAACGCCACAGCAACCTGCTTGAAATTGCAGCTTGCTCCGCAAGGTCTTTTCTGGTGTGCTCCCAATCTGTCAACCCCGTCAACCGCCAAGCTTTCCAGAGGCTCTTTCAGGAACTCTTTTCGAAAACTTTTAGAGCTCCTTCCAAGGGAGGTGCCAGCGCTCCGCCATCCAGGCTTTAGTCTCCGCAGGAACAGGAAAGGCCAGAAATGGAAAGAAATTAATAAGAGAGGCGTGGGGAGAAGTGGATTGGGAGGCGTGAGAGTACTGCGAAGGAGTCTGCAAGGTGGGGAAAA